GAGACAGGGTCTCCCTGTAGCCCCAGCTGTCTTGGAACTCACTATGTAGACCAGGCTGGCCTTGAACTCACAGAGATCCACCTATCTTTGCCTCCCAAGTGCTGGGACTAAAGGAATGCGCCACCACACCCAGCGGCAATATTTTACTTTATTTTTTACACATATTTGTGTAATGCCTGTATGTATGTAAGTGTACCCATGTCAGGCAATGCCACTGGAGGTCAGAAGAGGATGTTGGATCCCCTGGAACTGGAGTTATGAACCATTGTGAGCTGCCATGTGGATGCTAGGAACAGAACCCTGGCCCTCTGCAAGAGCAGCCAGTGCTCTTAACCATTGAACCATCTCCCCAACCCCAATTCTTAAAGAAATTTACAAAACTGCATGGTAACCCATGTTTGTAATCCCAATGATTAGGGGACAGCCAAGGCTGAGTTTGAGATCATCATGGGCTACATAATAAGACCCTGTCTCAAAAAGAAAACAATGTAAATTCCAGAACTTGGGAGACAGAGGCAGGCAGATCTTTGTGAGTTTGAGGCCAGCCTAGTCTACATAGCAAGTTCTGGGACAACTGGGGCTACAGGGAGAACTTGTTTCAAAAATGTGTATGTTTTTATATGGTAAATGCTCTAGCTACATATTAGAATATGTGCTGCTTATTTAAGAGCTTACAAAATCACCTGACAATTCTTTCCACAACACCATAACTCAATCTCATGTGCAAATGCTGAGCATCATGGCACTCTGCTGTTTAAAAAGTCCTTCCACGCCTACATTCCCTCACCCAGCAGTCTGCCAGCTACTGTGTCCATTTTACAAAAGATGAAACAAGCTCTGAGAAATTGCATTGTTCATTTAAAACACAGAATGATGGAGAAGCAGCCTCTCAACTTGAGTCTTGGAATGTGAACTTGATTGCTACAATTCAGGAAAAAGGGTTAGTTCTTTTATCCCTTAGATGTACTAAGATAATCATAATTACATCTTTATAAACTATTAAAAAGTATTTTTCTGGGCTGGAGAGATGGCTCAGAGGTTAAGAACACTGACTGTTCTTGCAGAAGAACAGTCTAATTGTATGGCCAGAAACTTAGGTTCTCTTTTGCCTCTATCATTTGGTTCTTTTCAGTGTCTTAAGATCTTTCGACAAACTAATTTTTTGAGGCTTCTAGAGCACTTTCGTTTTCAGAATTTAAATTAGAAAATATTTTCCTAAGTAGTTCAGAGCAATGGTCACAGACCAGGGTTTCTCACAGACTGAGAAACACCTCAGTCCCCTCTGACACTAGAAGCTTTCAAAATCCTTTTTGTTGCTAAAACTACATCATAAAACTTGTGACATCTGGGAAACTGCCAGATGACAGAATAAGGATCTCAAAATTGCTACATAAAGTTTAGGATGTGGTTCAGTGGTGGAGCATATGCCTAGGATACATGAGTCCCTGGGTTTGATCTTCAGCACCACCAGCAAAATAAGTCAGTTTTTTAAAATTTATTTTTATTTTATGTGTATGACTGTTTTGCCTGCCTGTATGTATATGTACCACAGGCATGGAATGCCCATGGAGGTCAGAAGAGGGCATCGGACTCCTTGCAATGAAGTTATGGATGGTTGTTAGCCACCATAATGGTGCTGGGAACTAAACCCGAGTCCTCTGCAAGAACAGTCAGTGCTCTTAACTGCTGAGCCGTATCTTAAGCCCCAAGTCAACTTTAATTATTTATTTATTTATTTATTTATTTATTTATTTATTTATTTATTATGTCAGAAGAGGGCATCGGACTCCTTGCAATGAAGTTATGGATGGTTGTTAGCCACCATAATGGTGCTGGGAACTAAACCCGAGTCCTCTGCAAGAACAGTCAGTGCTCTTAACTGCTGAGCCGTATCTTAAGCCCCAAGTCAACTTTAATTATTTATTTATTTATTTATTTATTTATTTATTATTTTTGTTCTTTTTGAGACAAGGTATCCCTGTAGCCCCAGCTGGCCTGGAATTTACTATGTAGATCATGTTGGATTCGATCTCACAGAGATCCATTTGCCTCTGCCTCCTAAGTGCTGGGATCAAAGGCATGTACCACTGTGCCTGGCTTTAACAAAGCATTTTAAAAGAAAAACATTAGGTTGTTTTGTAGCTGCAAGTGGAGGGAGACTGCAGAGCCACATCAAACTACATCACCTCTCTCTCCTAAAAAGTTTTAAGAGGGCATTCTCTAAATTGGGGGAGAAAAAGAGGAATCTGGAGAGATGGTGACCTACTTTCACAGACTTTCCATTTATATGAGAAATAATTTTATAGAATAGGCGTTAAAGGAATATAGGATCCAAGGATTGCTAGGTTAACCTCAGGTCTATGTACTCTGGGCTGAACTGGGCTATTGTAA